CCTCTCTGTTTTGTTTAAGTCGTCATCAAGCTTGCTTCCTGGACTGGCATGTGGGAAAAAAGATCAGGTGGGCTGGAGTGACAATTGTTGGTCTATTAAAATCAGTTTTACTTCATCCCTAACTGTCTGTGCTTTCTGCTTTGCAGTCTTTTGTGCTGCGTTTTTAGTGAATTCTTTACTTTTATTAATCATCGACCTGGAAGAGGCATGGAGGCTTCTGGAAAGCTATAGTGTTGTCCTCCTTGCCATCAGGTGAAAACACAATATACTTTTGCATTTCCCTATGGCTTCCTCTATGAGTCATAGCTGGCTGGACTCTTTATCTGTTTAGAGACAGATAAAGGAAAAAAGAATTTCCCTTGGGGAAAGAAGGACATGGTAGTATTTTTTGATACTTTCCAAATCTCCTGGTACATTGGACTATAGGATCTACATGGGTCATGTTGTGCAGCTCAAAGAGCTGTTTCACTGATGAGGATTTCCAAAGTGTATTGCAGTGTGGTGCTTTTTGTAATTTAATTTCTGTCAGTTCTTTCCGGGAAAGGCATTCTGTGTCTGTTTGTGTGAGTGACAATGACAACCAATTCCCATTTTGATATCCGAGACATGAAAATAAAATACCCTCTTGAGCCCAAAGACACTTATTTCTGGTACCCTGCAGATCTAGTATATAAACAAGAAGGACTCTGCTTTTGTATGTGTCCCCCCCCCAAAAACCCAGCAAAACAAAACTGTTAACTGTAATCTCACTGAGTGAATCAGAGAAGAACATGAGCTTGGTGTGCAATAAGAAAGCTGAGGCAGTACTCAGCAAAGATGAAAGTGATATTGATGACCATAGTTTAATTGGGTTTTCATAAAACATGCTGTTCTTCACAATTTGGCTAATGCTTGATAGTTTCTTTTTATGAGTCTGGCAAGACAATGAAACTTCAAACCATTTGCTTTGCAACTGGAAAAATGAGCCGGAGAGATATTCAGAAGAGCACTAGGACTCTTTGTCTCTTGTATTAAGGAAAAGAACTTCAGCAGCAAGGGAACGAGAACCTCCTGCAAACATACAAGCACAGTTTAGCAGTAAATCAGCTCAGCTGCAATCCTCACCACATGATATTCTGTAGTTGCCACTGGGGAGAATTCTGCTCATCTCCAGACAAGATTGTGACTTGAGTTAATATTTATTTCCGTTTTTACAGATGTGCTGTCCAGTGATGGATGGGGTGTGTTAACCTTCTACTTTTTCACACCTGGTCCACACCTGTTTGGGATCTCATTCCGTGTCCTACTGGGCAGCAGCTCTTGAACTTTGTTGGATCCTGGATCTTGGGCCAACTGAGGGTGGTGAAAAGCTTTGAAACTCTTGGCCAAAGGGCTTTTTGTTTTTAAAGTCAGAGAGGTTGGTAGGTTTTGTTTTGTTCTTGAATGAATATTCATTCTCATGACAAAAACATTTCACAATAAACTGTTTTCATTTGACAGCTCTTTGGCAGTACATGTGTGAAATAAATTGGTTTTTTTGTAGTCCAGTTCCTAGTGGTCGAGGATATCCCTGTCTCAAAAAGGCTTTGGACTTTTGTTGCACTCATTGACAGTTTAATCAAAAAAACTGTGGACTAAGTATTCCTTAGAGTCTGAACTCTCTAGGGAACGTAGAAGTCCATCCCCCAGCACATTGTGAAGAATCTTGTCTTGCCTCTGCAGCTCTTTTTGAGTAAGAAGGGGACTTTGGACTCCAGGGCTGTGGATTCAATAGCATGAAATTCAATACCAAAATTTTAAAACAAAAAACAAATGGTATTGTTTTGAATCCTTTTATAGCATGTTTTTTTCATTTGCACTGCGGGAGCTTTAAATATTAGTATGCCAGCACTAGCCAAATTTAGGTTGATCGAGACTAGAGGAGAATTCAAAGAAACTCAGCTAAACTTACTGAGGAGGAGGCTCTATGGCAAATGAAGTTCCTTGTAGAGTGCCAGAAGACAAAGCATGATCTGGGAGAAAACTAATTTGCTCAGATGTCTTGAATTGCTCTAACTTAATTCTTCTAGTTTAGCAAAAGATCTGAGCATCACTACTCAGTGCATTTGTAGTATTACTGTCTACTTGACTGGGCAGTGTGTGAATGGCAAGTATGTGGAGAGTCACTGTAGTTATTAATAACATAACTGAAATCCAGAATAAACATGATGTTTCAGGCTTTTAAACTAATATCAGTTCAAATTTGGATGGTGGACAGGCTATTAAGTGGATTTTAAATCCTCCTCTGTCTAGTCTGGTAGCTTTTTCAGGAGGTAAAATACTGAACTGTGGAGACCTTGGGACTGCTGCAACAGAGCGACTCACATATTCCACATCTGCTGGTTTCTGTCTGTATGGACTAAAGAAGGTGGTGAATTGAGACTGAGGTACATAGAAGAAGCTGTGCTGTGAATGAGGGATAAGAACTATTGGGATGTCATAAGCAAAGGCCAAGGTGTGCAGCAGAGATGGGTTGTGGGATCACAGAGCTGTGTGGTGTTTAATTTGTGAGCAGACCAGCATGTCACTGTTGCATTGGGGGCTATCAGTCAAGGCTCAAAGACAACTCCTGGGCAATATGTTGTAGTCCCAGGGCAGAAATAGTAGGGGAGCTGCAGGTCAGCAGAGATTGTTGTGGTGACACCAGGGAAGAATAAAGAAAGGGAGTTGCCAGTCAGGAATGAGGGATGCTGGCAAAGCTCAGTATTTGGAGTAACTGGTTAGTGCTAAGTGCTTTCTTCTTCCTTGGATGCCATTATGTGTCAGTTTTTCCTTGCTGGTTTCTTTTTTTTTTTTTTCCATTTTCCTTTAAGGATCTGAATCCCCCTGAGCAGCAGGTGATCCTGACTATAATGTAGAGGAATAAGCTTGGGAAAGTTTTGTCAAAAGAAAGTGGGTTATAAAAACAACTCTCTCTGCATGGCTTGAACCTGTCAGCATGACGCTGCCGACGATGCAGCTGGAGGGGAATGCGACAGGCTCCACAGCCCTGAGACAGAGCAGCCCACATAGCCTGCTGATGTTATGGGCCTGGCGTGGATTTGGGGAAGGTGTGCCTACTTTGCCAGGTGGGCCATGCATGGAAGTCAGATGCTAAAGTAGCCGTAAGCCTATAATCAAACTAATCATTTTGAATCTCAGTTCTGCCAAGAGCTTGAGAGGGGTAAGGAAAGTGCCTGAAAGTCCTGCTGGGCTCATCTCCAATGTACAGGGTGCTTTTGAGTGTCTGCTTTGGGACTTATCTTTTGGCCCCTCACAAGATGAAAGGACTCTTTGTAAGGATAGTCCTCTCTTCACGTGGGTGCAGCATGAAGTTGTGCTGGTGTCCAGGTGTGGGGCAGTCAAATAAAGCTAGAAAGAAAGTGGCCAATGGCTGGGGAAGTTTGTGTGAAGTGGCATAGGATGCTGGTCTGCCCAGGATGTCTTGCTGCTCGGCTCAGTGTCAGTAGCCCTAGAGCAGGGGTTGCTGGAAACATTTCCATCCAGACAAATTGACTCTGTTTGTTCCTGTTGGCTTTGTTCCTTTCTCTTTTGTGTTCCAGAAAGGGAGAATTTACCCTCTGCAAATGCAGGGCTTACATGCAATTTTCCCAGAGCTCATTTAGTCAGCCAAATCAGCAGGAGCTTTTTGGAAATGGCAGGAGCCAGCTGAGGTCAGTTTTGATCTGGTAAGAACTTTACTAAACCAGTATTGGTTGGGAGTCACTTTCATTAGACCAAGTCAGTAGGAACTGCAGAGAGCTGGCTGAAAAGGTGTAATTCCTGGTGAGGAGTTCTTGGATGAAAATCACCTCCTAGATGAAGGAGTCAGGGCTATGCTGAATTATTTGCTGCTAGAAGAGTCTTTGTTCTCAACCAGCTGAACTAGACTAGTCTCTTTAAGTTTTTTTGTCAACTTTCCTTATTGTATACTAAGACTCTTTCCAAACGGACAGCAATGGACCTATAGCTTTTGCGTAAGGAGTATCAGAAGTTATTATGCCTTTTGTGGGTGCCCAGAGGCCAGGCTGGAACCTTCTCTGCTCACAGCTGCTGTCTTAATTCCACTGTGTTGTCCTCAGTCCAGTTGTATGGAGGCTTCTCTTGATCTTCAGAAATACTGCAGGAAACTATTTTCTCTCACTGTCCTCAGAGCTGTCTATTTGGAGAAGAGGTGTCATATCATAGCATGACACATGAATGTATGTAGTGATATCTTCTGGCATATTTGGCATGCCATGTCTCTAGCTGTGCAGTAGCGCATGTGAGCATGTCCTTGTGTCTGTCAGTTGAGGTAGCTCACCCTATCTCCCAGGATGATTTTGTGTTCTGTTTTCTGGGTTGTTACATCCTGATGATGGCATAAATTTTCTCAGAGTGCTTCCAGGCTGTCCTACTTCTCATGTGTCATCTGATCCACGTTCTTAAGTGACTAGCTGGAGGTGCAGATCTCAGCTCAATTCTCTGCTTTGCCACAGACTTTCTGTGTGACCTTGACAAGTCATGAGGTGATTTTTCCAACATGTTTTTCTTGTGAGCAATTAAGGGGCACATTTTTAGAAGAGAAGAGAAAAGCAAGAATGAGCTTTTGTTTGTTGGCCAGTCATGAAGTACAGAGTACCTACTTATGGTCTGTGTGTTTTTATTTGAGAAATAATAGCTTAATAACCATATGATCAGCAGCATAGCTACATTGGCAGAGACACTAGGGGGAATATGGTCTGCATGTCTAGAAGTCTTACTGCTAGACTGGGCATTGTTTACTGCCTCCTTTTCCCAGCCTAGGACCATTTCCTTGTTTACTGAGTGATAAAAATGAGGACACTATAGAGTGCATCAGTTTGGAGACATCTGCATGAGAAGTTTTGCTGGCACAGTTACATCAGCAGTCCTCTTTGGCTGGGTGAGCTTTGCAGTGTGGGACAAGCCTTAGTCTTTGAGTTCCTCAGGGACTTAACTGGCTATGGTGTATAATTGTGCCTCTCTTCCCTATAGGTCTGTATGAAGATGGAACACATTAAAATTAAGAGTTGCACAAGTTGTAGCTGAAGGGACCATTGAAATACTTTGATAGGTACAGTATCATTCAACTAAGATTTCATAAGATGTTCAGTTCATAAAATGACTTGAAACATGTGCACGTAATAAGTGAATGTGCAAACATGCAGAAGGTGGAGAGATAGATCAGTTCAACATTTCCCTAATTCTAAATGTCCTTTGCAATGCTACTAAAGACACTTGTGTTTATATCCAAGGAAGAAAAATGTAAAACAGAAGAGCATTAAGGTGATCTGTTTACGTTTAGCTACTCACCTGTCTTGCACAGTGTTTTGGTTGTTGGAACTTAGTTTTGTCTCTCAAACAGAGTAAAGTCATTGAATTGCGGATTCTCAAGGGGCAAGTGTGGACAATGGCATTTTCCTGTAAATTTGAGGCCTTTCAGCTAATATTAGTCTCTGCTATAGGGCTAGTAGTTCTGAGACTTAGTAAGCAATTATGTTTCTTTCAAAACAACATTGGGAAATGGGTCCAACTTTATGCTTGAAAGTTACTGCTGGTGGAAGCTCTGTAACCTGATCCATTCCTGCACAGATAAGACTGTTTTTCCAGTGTGGCCTGTAAAAGCAGCTCTTTCTTTTAGCCTGAAAACTGATGGCCCAATTGACGTACCACCTTTGGATTCAGGGAGAGGCCCTGATCCCACTGTTTTCAGAAAAAAAAACCCCATTCCTTGTGGCTGCTTCTCTAAAGTCAGCATTTCACATCAGTGCATACTTGGCCTTTGTATCTTCAAGGCATCTTTTTTTTTTTTCCCTTCCAGATACTTGGGAACAGGAGGTTCAGAATGTTTGGTGATGAAAAAGCAGTGTGATGCCAGGGGCTGTATTGCTGGCAGCATAACATAAACACCTTTGACTTATAAGCTGGTGCCAAATGAAGTTCTCAGAAAGCCACGGAAAGACTACCTGGAAAATCAACAAATGAGTTACATGCAAATGAGCCAGCTTCCTTTTTGTAGTTCTCAAAATGAATCCTTCTTCTGCAAGGTGGTTTGGGCATTTTAGGGAGTGGTAAGTGAACCACACCTCTTCTTCCAAATTTTTGTCACTGACCCTCTACTGGGCCTTAGTTCTGCCAAGGAAAAGCCTTTTAAAGTTCAGTGTCAACAGTCAAGTGTTGTCTGTTCTCTGAAAGGACAACATGTATCTGAGGGATCTAAAAATATCATTCAATGTTGAGAACTAGAGAATTTATGTGCTTTATAGGGACCCAAATTACATAGAGCCAGAAAAATACAAAAATTAATAACTTTGTCCAGTAATTAATTGCTAGTAGCATGTGAGGACAGTTTTCAGGAAAGACTAGTTTTCATTCTTGGTTTCCTGAATTGATATATGTCTGTCCACTTACCTGCCTACCTCTGCTGGACAAGCACAAGATTATTTTGAAGAATACAGACCCTGAGTTAGATTTTGAGTTAGATTCTTTGCATATTAGCTATGCCATGCACAGACAGCGGGGGGAGATCATTAGGAAGCCAAATGCAATTTTCTTGTCATATGGGACAGTCACAGAGTGAGTTATGGTATGCTATGGGCAGTTTTCTCTTATGCTATTGATGGATAAACTCCATGGACTCTTAATCTATGAAGAATCAGATAATAAAACAGAATTCTGTCAAGAGCTCTGCTCCATTAAGGCATCTCTCCCCCACCAGGAACCACTCCACTGTCCCTTTGCACTCACAGTCCTGACAATAATTATGCAAAATGGCAGAGATGGAAAAAAGACTGATAAGTGGTATATAGTTTCCAGGCCATTTCTTCCATCCCATCTCACTCCCTCTGTTTTTATAAATGGCAGAGACGGACTGGACTGTAGCATACAAGTCATGTTACTTTTTGTTGTAGTTGTTTTTGTTTTTTTTTTTAATAGTATACATTATACACCGAATTGTGGTATAAAGTGCAAATGCTCTGTAAAGGGCTTTTTTGCCCTTCAATACAAAGATTTCAGTCTGTGCCCCTTGTACAGCTCTGCCTCTCTCTTCTAATGGGAGGCCTCAGCATGGGGAAACACATCCTAAGAAAGCAGAACAACAGGGCGGGAATTAGTCGGATGCAGAGGAGAGCAGCTCGATACTAACGGGCCAAATAGGCTCTGACAGCCTCACACCAACGGGCCACTCTCCTCTATGGGGAGTTTATGAGGCCTTGGCTTGTGTGGCCACCTCCACTTATGAATGAAAATCAAAACCAGATTGATGTCCCCCTCCCAACAGCAGCTGCCTGATTTTTTGCATAAATCGTGCTCCCCGGCCCCTCTCCAGGGGAGCTCCATAAAATAAATGGATTCATTACATGCGGATTTCCTTTTCCTTCTTCTCTGGAGAAACAAAGAGCCTATTAGACGCAATATGGAAATGCACATATGCATGCACACACGTGCAGACAACATGAAAATGTGCACGTGCACATGCAGCGTATAAGCTCCCTCCCATCTCTGTACCCAGACAGTGCCATAAAATACATGAAAAAATCCCTTCTCCTTTACAGCTCTGCCGAACACACAAGCCTGTATTCATTCGCACAGATCTGCAGCTTAAATTCTAAACTAAAAAGGACAGGAAAGCCCAGGGCAAGTTGCTCCTTCCAGAAGGCGGAGGACTGTGAGTGCACTGAGTGGAGGTTATTTCCTTTTGCCAAAGTCTCCCCCAGTGCCCAGGAGCTGTGTTTTTACCAAGAGCGTAAGGGCCCCATCCTCTGCAGAGCAGGGCTCACAACAGGCTGCACGCTTGGGACACCATAACCACGAGAACTGGGAGGCTGCCAGCTTTCTCTCCAGCTGAAATAGAGGAAGGTGCTTTGTGGCTGAGAAGAGGCAGAGGGATGAAGGTAAGGAAATGGCTGGGTGCCCTCCATTCCTCTCATCTCCAGGTGGCGGCAATACTGGCACAGGAAAGAACTGGAAAACATACCTTCCCCGGAAAGCTCTGCCTGTGTGAAGCAGCCACAGATGCAAATCTCACACACCTGTATACCAGGGTGAGGGATGCACTGGAAACCCCTCGCTGAGCAGGTTACATGAAGTTAGGAGGTGCGATCACCTTCAAAATGATGCCGTAAGTCACTGGCCCCAGGACAAGACTGTAGTACGTGGGCACGTTCACATTGTATGCTAAACTTGGGTCAGAGCCCGAGTTTGAGCACTAACTTGCTTCCCATGCAAATTGTGAACGCCCCAACCCTCAGGGCCAACTCCCTACATCTTCAGTCGGAAAGCCTTTGGGGCTCTAAAAGCCCAGCCTCAAAAGGGTGCTGTGCTATAGAGCCAAAATTACAGCAGCAGTGGGAAATTAGTTGTAACCTTTACCAGCTTCTGGCTACCACCTGACAAGGGAGCCAGGGAGGAAAGGGAGGAGTAAGAGGAGAGCTGTTTTCTCTCCCTGGCACCAAGGGATGCTATGCCCTGAGACAAGGGAGAGGGACTCAGAGCTCAGCTAGAGGGTGGGAGGCAAACACGGTGGTGACAAAGCTCAGGACCATGCTAAGGATATGCCATTAGTGCCTGAGCTGGGCTGAGTTTTGGTGTTCAAGGGAACATCAATCTCCTTTTTTATCCAGAATCCATACTGCTGTGGAGCACTTTTTAGTCTTTTAGCCTTTTTAGGAAGCAACGGTGTAAATTTAGGAGTGCACAGCAGCAGGCTGGAGGCAAGAGAGACCCATTCAAAATAAAGGGGTGGGGAGAGCAATGTAGCCAGCAAAAGGACTTCATATACACAGTCCAAGACCTGAATCTCTCAAATCATAAACATCTTACACAGTAGTGTAAGAAGATACTAGTGTTTTTCTCAGGCCTTCAATATTGGGCTTTAAGGTTGCAGTCAGGTTCCATTGCTAGCTTTTCCTGGCAGCTGGGAAGAGTAGGAACTTTCCCTTATATGATGTAAGTTTTCATATAATTGAGTGAGTCTGGGAGCTGGAGCTTTACAAAAAACTGACTCGAATGGGATGTCTGATGAAATCTAGGAAGTCAGCAGCATGGGGGGATGCAGACCCTGCAGAGGAGGGCTTCTGAAGAGCTGCTGAGCAGAAGCCTTGCGTCTGACAGAAGCTAGCAAGAACTGAGACATGAGGGAGCTTAAAGCAGTTTGCATTGCCTTAAATTCAGTATTCTAAGCCCCAAGGTTTCAGACATTTTAAGCTGGACCACAAAAATTTGTGATAACTCTAGAATCATGGGTTTTTGTAAAAGAATAAATGCTGCATTTTCTCTCTTTGCCTCTGAGCGTTAGAGTTGCCTTCAAATAGCTTTTTGTAGTTTTTCCCTGCAGTGAAGAAAACATGTTGCATTAGTATCATAAGTTTTGGTTTTTCCCACACACAAGAGGACTAGAAACTTGTCTTATGCAGATAACACTTTTCTCGCCTAATCATCTGTCATCAGGTTCTGGAGCTTTAAGTTAAAACAGGACCAGTATAATGAGATCCACAACCCATCACAAACACTGGCAATGCTACTTCAAATGGCTTCACTTCACTGATGTCAGCAAGGACTTTGTATACACAAATATGGAGATTGCAATCTTGATCCTGGAAACACTGGAACCTTGAAATGGTAAAACTGGGTGAGCCCTAAAATCCATTTATTCCCATATCCTGTCTCTGATTATCTGATGCTTTCTCTGATGCCTTTGCCAGATGCTTTAGGGGAAGGTGCAAGAACCTTGCAGCAGGCAGATGTAACATAATCTGTTCAACACTTACCATCACTTTCTGGTTCCTATCTATTAGAGATGGGATTGGGACCAGGAATATAAATTTTAGCATCTTTTCTGAAAGCGTTGTTGGTGATCATTGTTATGCTTTTTTGTTTCTTCTCATCCACATCATTGTCCAGTCTTTTTAGAAAATTGTTTGCTTAATTCTTGGCTTCTGCAGCTTCTTGTGTTCGGTACAGCTTAATCCAATTACAGATGAGTGAAAGAAATTAGTTACTTTGATGAAGTTTGGACCAGTCACTTCTTCATCTGATTGAATATCTGTTCACCCTTGTGTGTCCAAGGACAGCAACAAGTCTTTCTCTCTGTGAGTGTTTTCATCAGGATGTCTTGTGGTTGCAAGAATACATGGTGCTAGGGATTTGTGCCAGTGAGTCTCTTTGCTTGAGTCTCCCATGTACTTCATCTGCTTGCTTTTACAGACCCTGCTTCTCCCCAGTGTTTTTCTCTCCCTACACGTTACCTGACAGCTGAGTGTTACTCTCAGGTTGAACTGAGACAGTCTCTGGTCTGTTTCCTGCTATGATGTTTTGCATCAACATCTGCTCCTCTTTAGACTATAAAGTTCTGTGGCAAGAATGAGCTTCTGTGTATGTATGTTTGTGTCTGCAAACCATGATTTCCACTGGAACCTGTCTGTTCTGCTGTAATGCATACAATAATTAGCAATAATTCCTAATTAAACACCTAAATGCACCCTGCTCTGCCGTTCACAGGGTTGAGTTGAGAGCTCTTTCTTTGTGACCTTGGGCCCAGGCTTCGTGGTGGGGCTCATCCCTGGAGCACAACAAGGCCAATGGCTTGGAAGGAATGCAGCACTCCTGATTCTCCATGGGAAAGCAGAAGGCACACTATTCTCTCTAGAAACAATCCTGTCTCTGGTCTCCCTCCTTTGCCCTTATCTCCAAGGGGATTTGTAGGCAAATAGGATCAAAGGCTCAGAGATGCAAGATAGACTGCCTGAATATTCACTGGCAGGCAGGGATAGGTGGTGCACTTCAAGCAACCCATCCTCAGCTCACAAGTGAGCAAGGAGGAAGGATAGAGGCAGGGGATCAAGCCCTGACCCTTCTCTGACAGTCACTCTTTTTTCTTACACTTGGGAGGCACTTGCTGCAATTTCTGGAACCAATACCTCCCCTCTGAATGGAAAATCCAGCTGGAGATGTGCCTGTGATATCTGACACTTACAATTCACGGTATGTTGGTTGCTTCTGCAAATTGGATTGGGAGCACAAACATCCCCTCATGACTTGCCAGCCACGTGTGGAGTTCAGTAGTCACACTGTGTGTGGGCTCCTTGGAGAGGAGGAAACTTTCCAAGCAGCAATGGACTGCGATGAGGGTGAGAGGTGGGTGCAGGTAGGGGTGATGACTCCCTAGTTTGGATCTGAGCAAAGAGGCAGGTGAGGTTTGATAACTTGCATATTTGCTCAGATGCAGGAGCTGGTGGGGATTTGGAGGTGAGGAGCTGAGCAGCTGGCAAAGGAGACAATCTAATGGAAGGAGGAAGGAAGATTTTGTCTCTGCTTGTGTGTGGCTTTTTTGGCTTACTGTTTTTGGCAGTCTGCCCCCAGGGACTGGAACTGCAGAGTTCAGCCTGGGCTTCCTCCCGGAGAATAGCTTGTGGCTTTGATCAACCACAGCTATGTTCCTCCATCCCTGCCTGCTCCCTGAGCATGGAGTTTGGCTATTCAGACAAGTGGCAGCTCACCACAGGCCCTGCTGCTGTGACAGCCCTGCCAGAGCCAGGACTTGCTCTCCGGGCAAAGAGAAAGATGCTGGTAGGCCAAATTGCCTCTGTTGTGTGATGGGTTTTCAGCTTCAGTATATCAACTCTTCTGCCCAGACCACCCTTCAAGTCCCCATGTAGCAGGAAAGGGCCAAAGGAGCCTTGGAGACAGCAGTGTCCTGGCTCTCAACAGAGACCAGGCAAGTTTGTAAGGGAAGGACAGAGACAGAAATGACCAAGGCAGTTGGAGGCGACCATGCTGCATCTGCCAGCCTCTGTCTTCTATGCCTGGCCTACTGAATGCAGCAGAAGGCTCCTCCTGTGTGTTTGTCATGTCCTGGCAAATTATCTGTGTGTAGTCACTCCTTCCACAACAGCTGGGGTGTGCAGCAATAAAATCTGTCTGCATTTCAGACAGTGCTGTTTTCAGGTTCATCTATTCCCTGTTCTAGCTGGTGATCCCTGGAGAAGAAGGATATAGTAATTATGGGAGAGTAATATTCAGGCTGCCCTTCACACCCACCACATACACTATGCCATGGGTTAGCTGATCTCAGGAATGCACGTTGAAAACCAGCCCCAGGTTGTCTTCTTTGGGCTGCAGCGCCCATCACTGTGATACTTGGACACCACTCAAACTGTTGAAGGCATGAAATCTCAAAGCTTAGAGTTCTTATTGGCCTCTGAATAGGCCCACTGGCCCAGCCTGCATCCAGACACAAAACCCCATCTATCCTCTGGTTTGCAGACAGGATGTTTTTTCCCAGTAGTTTGAAGGTAGACTCAGGTCTGGCAGTCTGCACAGCCTACTAAAAAACAGTCTTATAAAATGTGAGCTAGGAAGCAAAACTCAGCACCATAAGAGAAAGAGGAGGAAACCACCAATTAGGAACAGCTCCTGAGGGGATGCTTTCTTAGGAGCCAGGAGGCACTCTACCAACAGGGCTTTTGGAGCAGGATAGGGCTGGCTGGGGAGGGCAGAGCCAGGGGTACCTGACTTGCACAGAGCCTTTCTGCACTCGGGAGGGCTGGTCCTGCAGCCCAGCAACTGCTGCGCCTGAAGCAAAGCAGCAAGAGATTGCACCCTGGCTGGGGGAGGACTAGCACCCAGGAGTAGGGAGGAAGAGCAGGAGGAGCACCGGAAGGTACAGCCCTCCTTAGCCTATGGCAACCAGCTAGCAATGAGGAATTCCTTCCTCCAGAAAGCAGCTTTGCCACAGAGTAGCTGGGAGTAGGTTTCGAAGCTCTCCTGACAGCCAAGTTTCCCACACAATGGCAAATGTGTGCCTGACCGCAGGGCAGCTGCAGGCAGGCAGAGGCTCTGTGGCCCTGCAGAGAGCAGAGAGAGGTCCTCTCATGCAAATCTAACCTACAGCTGGTGTCCAACTCCAGAGGTGGCCTCTTACACTGTCAGATGTAGGTTGGTAGAGAAAAAAGACACAAGGTCTGAGCTTTGTAGTCAGTGCATCCTTCCTACAGTTCGGTAAATGCCAGGGGATTATTGTTTAGGTCTTGGCCTGTTGGGCTGTTGTAGCTGACTGGGAGTCAGGGTTATTGTTGGTGGTATCCGAGTGTGGTTGGTGGTGGGGGTACACTCCCGATAAGGAGTGTTGAGACACTGAGGACTGAATGACCAGGATCTGTCTTGTTGACCATGTGATTTCTCCTGGAGACGAGTGGGTGTGCAGTGTGGCTTTTATTTGCTCCAGTCTATCTTGTTTCTCAGTTTTCCTGGAGATGACAGCTTCTTACCAGCTTAGGCAATGGGGTCTGTGGGGACATTAAGGTAAAATACTTGCTTAGGGTCGCTGGGTGCTGCCTACAGTAACTGTCCATGGCCTGTGAGGAGAAGGGCCTCCAGTGGGCAGCCTAAAGCACCTGAAATCCCATCTGCTTTTTGGGGTGCCGGTGGAAACTTTGTAGGAGATTTGGGTTCCACTCTTTTCTCAGCAATGAGGTGGCTCATCAGCTGGCTTCCCTGACAGTTTTTAGTATCATCTGTGGTCACCATTTACTACCCTGTAGGGTTTCAGTGCTTTGCTTCAGCTCTTTAACAACTGGATCTGTGCTTTGGGAGCAGCTCAGCTGTCCTCACCGATCCCCCTGAGTGAAAGGACACATAAGCGGTGCTTCACGTCAGATCTGCCAGGCACAGCTCACTGCAGTGGCCACCCAGAGCACCATGGGCAGTGTGACACAAAGTATTTTGAAGATGCTGTTAAGTGAGACCTGCTTAAATATTTGCTTTGATTGAAGCAGGGACTGAGATCTGAGACTGGGACACTCAGTCTTTAGTGTCCCAGACATTTTCCCCATCCTGAAAGTTTCTGTGTGGAGGTGCTCTCCCTCTTCCCAAGGAGCTATTTCATGTTGTGTAAGGATTCAGTGCTCATTAGGTGAGTGATTTGAGTACAGGCCTCATCCTGTCAGAGGAATCACAGCAGTGTAATGAATCAGTCTCTCTGGTCCGTTTGATGCAGACTATGAATCTGGGTCTCCCACATCCGTCTTGCAAACCTAACCTTGACTCTTTTTGTGGTCTGTCAGCCCTGTTAAGTTTCCACAAAGAGGTTAATTTCTAGTAAATTTTTTTCAATTAATAAACTAACAACAAAATTTGCTGAGAAATGTCAGGTAAGATCTAGTCCAGACCTAGTCCAGACATGTCAGCCTTCTGCCCAGGAAAGAATTTGTACCAGAAATTATCTTGCACTGATGAATCTCATAGATGTGTTGCAGAGTTGCCAATAAGTCTTTTGCCTACTAGCACAAGCAAGAGAAAAAAAGAAACCAAAAGGGAGCTTTAGTTTGACACACCAGGTAACAGAAATCAGGCTGTGTAATATTTTCTGCCTGACTACCCTTACCTAATATGAGCAGCATGGTGAAAAGGGAAGCAAGAAGCGGGTAGAAGTTAGAAAGATATCTTCTGAGTCATTGCGGAGTGAACAGGAAGTCCTGATGATTCAAGATTTGGCACTTTCCCTTGCTGAACCCAATGGCACATCCTAGTGCCAGGAGAAACTAGGCTGTAGGAAGTGCAATCTTTTGGCTGAGATAACAGACCTGTGATTTTCCTCTTCATCGATAGGGAGTCCACTGATATTTTTCATGAGAAAGTAAAGCTCTGTTTATAGTATCAGGACTGAGACTGTGCGTGGAAGTCCTCAGCATCTCACTTTCCAAAATGCTGTGAAAGCTCTCCTCATTTCAAGCCCACCTTCCTCAGTGATAGTGTGCACATACATCAACTTGTTAGTCTATTTGAGGAGCTAGTTATCTTACTCATTAGAACAAGTTATGTTTATTCTTTTTGATATGTTACTTATAGCATTTATTTTTCTCTATCTTTGAAGTGCTGAGATGCACAGCCACTTTTATTGGCTCTTTGTGGGCAGCACTGTTGTTAGGTGTGTGTATATTTTGATCCACATATCTGTGCTCTTCTAACTTCCTTCTGGAAAGCAGTATTAGTGGGAGAAAGGTTCCTGTGTCCCCTGGTCTGCTTTATGGATGCTGTGGACCAGCATGGGATGTGATGATGTTAATTAATAATGGCGATCATTATTCTTTCTCTGCTGGTCATTTTCGGAGCAGTGCTCTGCTGTTGTGCTTCTCCAGCTGTCTCTCCTCCTCTCCCTTTCTCCCCTGCCCATTCTTTGGCATGTGCCTGTATGTCTCACTTGCCCACTGTCCAGGTACCTTTGGGGAAGCACAGCTGTGTCTACATCTAAAATCCTGCTGTGAATTGTGGAAAGTATCCCAGCAGTGATGAAAACCTTACATTTCATAGCCAACTCAACAAAAAGGAAA